CAGGTTACAAACTGGTTAATACAATTAAAAAAAGTACAAATGTCAAAACAAGTATAAGCGCACGCACCGTATAATGTTTAAATGCCATTTCGAGTTTATTACAAAGTTTAAGATATACTATATAATACAAATAATACAACTTTATATATACGTAATAAATGTGTTTCTGTCTTTATTTTCATAGTTCTTTATAATTACAAGTTATTTTATCGACATGCGAATAAATTCTATTTTTACTTCTCTTGAAAATATAATATTTTAAATGCAATGGAAACACTATTAGGTGTTGTTTTATATTGTTATTAAGAGAAATCGATTGTAGTGAAAGTATCGTAGATGACAGTTGCATTACTAATTTTAGCTAACCACATGAAGAGAACGATTGCTTTTCAGATATGGAGCCAAATAGCGAAAAGGACAGCTATGAAAAATAGAATTTTCTATCTAGAAATTTGTGCATAACATATGATGAATATATTGACAAATAATTTAATTCTTTACGATATATAATTCCTTTTGATATATAATACCAAACTTTACTTATTAACAAAAAAACAGCGGTGTAATGTTAAATAATAATATAATGGGTAAATATGCATTTTAGATTACACAGCACCGATTTTGTTGCTCTTTAGATATGTTGTAGGGGAAGTTATGTCGAGAACATTTTAGAGGAATAGCAATGACATTGTAGTTCCATAATACGATAATAGGCAGCAGATTAAAATTATCGAGAAAGTAACAACGATTTCGCGATGTCAAATTTATCTTTCCCTTTCACTTGGTACTTTCTTTTGCATCGATGTGACTATCACTTCGCAAACTTGTGTCAGCGTTTTTATATATTTGTCATACAAGTTCTGCGAGTAATAAACATAACTCGCCAAATATACAATTGTCCCTGCTGAAATATAGGAAATTCATGAAGCATGAAGTGCAATAAACAGTGTTCTGAACAGTATTCATTTTGTCCTATAGGCATCGAAGAAACTGTTAAACTCGTCCGGGCGGCCGGAGGTTCATGTTACGGCTATGTCTGTGATTTGTGCGATCGAGAAGATATATACAAGAAAGCTAGAATCATCAAAGAAGAGATCGGCAAGGTAATAATTGTGTATTCTACTCATTGTCAGACAGCAAATCGTGGGGAAGCTGTAACTCCAGATTTACTCTATAACGCGGAGAACAATATAATTTCTCAATTTTCAGATCAAATCTAAACCTATAATGAATGGAAAATTTATAACTACTACACTAATTCTCTATTATTGACCAATAAATGGAATCTCAAATTTTAATTCTTAATAAACAGTTATCGGTCTTATATGCGGATCTCAAGCAATTATTATCTTATAATGTAAAAAAAATTAATTTCTTAAATGTATTTGAAAAATTTTGAAGATTAATACTTTGAAAGATAAAAGGGCAATTCTACATGAGAAACCTTTTCGACCTAAAAAACTATTTGTCTATATTTACTTAACAAATGTTCAATTTTATGGATTTATGAATTTTGCTGTATGTAATTGCGCAAGACGATCGTGACACAGTGCTTGTAGCTCAAACTGAGTTGCAAATAAACAATTTATAACGTTCAGCAATCTGAAAGTTTATTTATATAAGCATATTTCAAAACAAAGTTCCAAAAAGATACTTTCTTTTGTATATCAATTGTATAGAGCAAACATAACTAAAGAAAGAAAAATAAATTTTTCTATTAAATCCTATAATTGATACAGAATTGAGAAATTTATATCTTATATTATATCGATTCATTACAATTAATAATTGGTTTAACAATTTCAATTTAAAAATGTAAAAATCAGTTAATGTAGAATTAGACAATAATTGAGAAAATTTATTCCTGAGTTTGAATTGGTCTAAAAATATTGTATTTTGCGGACGTGCTTAAATTAATAACTGAACAATATTCTCGATTACATAAATCATTTTTGGAGGAATTGTAGAGATATTTTGTTCTCTGGGTATCAATATTGTTTTTTAAAAGAGAGCTGTATCACGGTCATATAACATCTTTACGTTTATATTCGCGAAAAAATGATATGCAACAACGATCATAATTGATTTCTTCTTGTATATTTACAGCATTAATAACAATTAAATTTATTAAAATAATATTTACATAGAAAAGGATTATGTAAAAGTATTATGAAAAAATGTGACACAAAAAAACAATTATATACAATTACAAGGAAAAACAAAGACAGTTTAAGATTTTTCTTTGCTTCAAAACTCGTTTATCATTGTTATTTTTCGTTACCTTTAGTTTGTTATACCAATTTCAGTGCTCGACACAAAAATGTGATTCGCATATCAATCTCAACAATGTTGGATAACTCGCGCGGATGTTCAACGCAACGCGAAAGAAATGTCATTATAGAAGACAAATAACCGACGACTCGTGGCGTCGGGCCATTACTCGTGGCGCGACCAGCAATTTTCTGCGGACGATATTATGAAAGTTTAAGTTGCGCCATAACATTGCGATACGCTGTAGCTGATATGACAGTCCGTTTCGCGTAATACATAAAATAACGAAAAAATGACCTTTTTGCGATTCTGCGCCGCACCTGTTTTCTGCTTGATATCCAGGTCGATATCTCGGACCAATATCATTCGTTGTTTCTACGAATGCAAAGCACTGCAACTACTTTTTGTTTTGCACAAACTTGACACAGTTTTTTGCTCGCGAGGATAATACATTTTGCATATTTTATTTATAGGTGACAATTCTCATTAACAATGCGGGCATTGTTACGGGAATGAAATTTCTCGATACGCCGGACAAACTTATCATTAGAACGATGGACGTTAACGTCATGAGCCATTTTTGGGTGAGTAGAATTTGTTCAAACTCAGCATTGAATGTAAAATTATGATACTGACTATTACATTGCTTATCCAAAAACTTTTCTGAATCATACTTGTAACGACTCGAAAATCTTTTTGCGAAGAGAAGAATACTCGAGAACGGTATACGAGACATTGCTGTGAAAAGAGGTTGTTCTCACTTGTTCATAAGCCTCTCGCTCTCGCGTAAGTTTTGCAATAACACGTCGATTTCAAAACCCGTGTACGTTCACAATATACGAGCAGTAAGATTTGAAATTATTCGCGGCTTTTACCACGATAAATTTGGGTTTAAATTCAAGGCTCACGAGTCGTCTCATTACAATATCATCGGTGGAAGAATCGCCGGTGAGAGGCATTCCATTCCGTCCCCGCCGCTTATTGCCATTGGTCAGGTGCAAAAACCGGTCGGATAGGTGCAAGCGATGTGTAGTATGTTGTAGTCTTGCAATTGCAACACACACCAGCCAGCGGCGTACTTGCCAAACGTAAATAATTCCTTAATTCGAATTCCTGCTTAATCAGTGTCCTGCAAACTTTCGTTTGCTTCAGATCTTTGGCAAATTGGAATATCAATAATTTTATTTCTTGTACATTCTATTTCGTATCTTGTATCTCATTATTGGCTGTCCAATTCGGCAAAATGGTTCTGTTGTAATAACATGTTTCCACTACATGAAGCAACGTAATATTGAGCTCTCGATGATTTCTCTATATTTTTGCAATGTTATTTTCAGCGAGCAATTCACAAGTTTGTGTAAAACTTTATAAAAAGATTGTTTAAAATTGACCATTTGGTCACATAGAAATATCTGCTGTAGAGTAAATTAAAAACAATTAAGAAAGAAAATAATAAAATTTAATATTAAGTACGAAAAATTCAAAAGTGGGAAAAAAGAAATAATATGCAAAAATTGATGAACAAATGATAATACACACATGCTTATTATTTTGATATATTTGTATATATATTTAATCATTTCGTTATTGAAAAAATTGTTTCGCCTGCAGGAGTAATGACATTGGAGAGTTACGTGATAGAAATAAAAAATATTCAACATGAGATTTACAGATTTACGTAAGATACAAGTGTGTAGTTGAAAGGCACTTGTATACTCATATCGATTTGACGAAAATTTTTTATCATATTGCATGATGCGAAGGTCAAAATAGAAATCGTGATCGCTCAGAGCGGTGTTCTTGACACATTTATCGAGTGCAAAAATGTTACTGGGATGATTACATTTATCTCCGATAAAAGTGACGTAACAAACTCGATAGTCAATGTTGTTGAATGTTTACACAAGAACTGATAACTCATATGCGCAAAATTAACGTTTGCACGAAAGATTTATGACATTTATGATCAATGCTTGTAATTCTCTTCTTCTTTCTTTATCAACTTTAACAATATCAACTTTTTACAATGTTAAATGGTTTTTACAATGGTTGTAATTGCTTTAAAAATTTGTTCAAGATTGTGTTTATTACAATTGGAAAAAGATTTTACACAAAAGAATAACACAAGATCTTGTGTGATTATTTCGATTTTTTGCTAATGTTTTTTATTCGCAAGAAAATAGAGTTAGTGCTTTTAAAACTCAGCATTAATATCTTGATAAATATTGATAGAAATACTAATGAAAGTGGATAAATGAATACTGATAGATAAATATTGGTTGAAAAGTATAATCAGTTACATGGATGTATACTAATTTATTTTTTTTGCACGCATGAATTATGAATGAAGCACTTTCTCATAACATTGCTAAATGATTAAATTTGACTGATTTAATTATTAGTTGTTAAAATAACTAATAATTTTTAACTAAAAATTTAAAAATTTTTAGTTTAAAATCATGCGATAGTATCGATAATGTAAAATTATATTAAAAAATTTTTTTATTTAATGATATTTAAATAAAAAAGCAGTCATTTAAAGATTTCAATCAATCTCTAATCTTATCTTCTAAGAATGATTATTTCCACTAACAAAAGAAGTGCACGAAGTGTTAATCGTAAATAAGTATGTACACGGTGCGGTCCAAAAGTTTTAGGACTGAATTTTTTACGACAGTATTACTAGTGTTACACACCGGGACGCAGCGGAACTATGCACTAGAAATCTTTTTTAACAATTATGTTAAGTGGCGCTAGTGTGCAGTCAATTGTCATTAAACAAAGACACTTTGTGCAATTGATGTTTAATGACCTCGGTCAAAAATTAAAAATGGATACGAAGAAAGAACAACGAATCGCAATAAAGTTTTGTTCTAAAACCGGTATATCGTCCGCGGACACGGTAAATATGATCAAAAAGGCTTACGGGAATACAGCCTTGACTCGTTTAAATATTTTTCGGTGGTATGCGCGATTTCGAAGAGGGAAGAGAATCGGTGAAAGACGACGAAGTAGTCGCCCAAGAACAACTTGAAATCCTCTCGACTATTTTCTGTTCCCTAAGCTAAAATTACAATTAAAAGGGACCCGATTTGACACTGTTGACGATATTCAAGGAGCAGTAACTAAGCGTTTGAAGGACATCCCTTTAATGTGTATTAAAAAGTGTATTGAGTCAAATGGATCATATTTTGAGTAATTAAAATGTAAGATAAATTATTTCGACGTTTTTTTTATTTTTAATTGCCTTAGTCCTAAAACTTTTGAACCGCATCGTGTATACCGGTTTTATAACAAAACTTTATTGTGATTCGTTGTTTTTCCTTCGTATCCATTTTTAATTTTTGACTGGGGTCATTAAACATCAATTGCACAAAGTGTCTTTGTTTAATGACAACTGAATGCACTAGCGCCACTTAGCATAATTGTTAATAAAGATTTCTAGTGCATAGTTCCGCTGCGTCCCGGTGTGTAACGCTAGTAATACTGTCGTAAACAATTCAGTCCTAAAACTTTTGGACTGCACCGTGTATTATATATAGTTGAAAAGATCTTAGGTCTATTTTTTTTTAACTGAACTGGTTATACTAGTTCAGAGTTTATCTTTTTCCCTCCACATTGGAAGGAGTTCAATTAAAAAGAACAGACTTCTTGCCGAGTAGAGTTCAGCTGTGCAATATCTCGCTTGAATGGCACCTCTAGAGAGCGCTATGCGCAATAGAAGTTATATAGCTATTAGGGATGTTTGAAAATCTAGTTCATTATTAAGTTCAAAATAATGCGAAAAAAGAAGAGAAAAAAGGGGACCTCTTGCTTTAATCTTGAAGCAAAAACCCCAACCAGTTTTTTAAAAAGCCCAAATAGCTATATAACTTCTATTGCGCATAGCGTCTTCTAGAGGCGCCATTCAAGCGAAAAATTGCATAGCTGATCTCTACTCGGCAAGATCTTTCCAACGATATATAATACATATCCATTTGCGATTAATACTTCGTGCACTTCCCTTGTAAGAAACATGCCATGATTGCTTTAGAGTGTTTTTTTAAAGTGTTTTTGCTTTAAATTGCTTTAGAGAGCTTTTATTGTATAGGTAATTTTTATTATAATAGTTTAATGTTAACTTTTTTCAGCGTCGATTAACTTTATAATCAATGATTAAAAGTTTGTCAATAAAATTGCCAATATAAATGAAATATCATTATATTAAAAAAAAGTTTAAAATTTTTTTTAATCGACATTGGAAACATAGTCATCCTTGAAATAAAATATATAATAAAAATATAGTCACCATTCTAATAAATAATTTCTATTATTTAATCAATTATTAATTCAAATATGATAGCTATAAACAAGCCCAAAGGCAGGTGTTAGGTGCTCTCAAATTAGTTAAACAAATTATAATTACAGACGTTTCGGACAATTTATTGTGTCCATCCTCAGTGAAATAATACTAACGGCGAAACAACGCCTTGAATACAGAATTAAAATATAGATACACACATATAAGCCGCAAGGTTAACGCAATTCCGTTAAAGATTTTAAACGTTTCCAGTCGCTGTCCATATGGTACGGATGATTCTCGAAGATGTGAAATATAAAAAAAATCCTTACTTGACAAATCAGAAGTATAAAATAGTTAAACAAGGCGATGCATTAAAGTATCGGATGGTTAGTCCAACAGCAATAAGACTCTGAAGTCGGACGTATCTGAGTAAGAAGTACATACATTCAGCTGTAGATTGTAAAGCACGAAACGGAACGAAAACATCTTTTTCATTCTTTTTGTGTTATTTAAAATTAACACGAAAAATGTATAAGTGTGGTAATAAGGAAGCTGGAGAAAGTGCGATCCCCCTGTGAGAACAATAATTACAAATATTATCCGATAAACGATAAAACTACGATTCTAAAGATATATATTATTCAAACTAATTAAAACACTGCTGCACCGCAAGAGAGAGATAACGAAAGAAGAAAAAACAGTCAAGTACAATAACAAATTAAAAAATTAAAATAAATAAAAAATTTTAAAATTAAACAATGATCAAAAAATAAATAAAAATAATAATAAATAGTTAACAATTAAAAACAGAAAACAATATTTACCTTCCAACAACCAATTCGCCAAAATTATAAAACTGTCAGATCGTCCGGTGTTCAAGTTCTTAATATTCGGTGTCTAAGACTCAAGACTAATAAGAGATAAATTCAATTGTCCTCGTCGATATGTGTTATAAAAGTGAGAGATAGAATAAAATAACGAAGGAATTATCAGTGGGAAAGGAAGGAACAGGATTGATGAGAAAGGGAAGGAGAAGAGGATGAAGAGAGAGGCGAGGCGAGGAGTACACGTGTGAGACTAAGGAGAGGGAAATTTTCGAAGAATAGGAAGATACGAGTTAGGTAGGAATTCCGTGTCGCTTTGTTTATTAAGGCTGTTATGTTGTTTTTTAATATGAAGCATTTCAGAAATCAATCTTTTGCTGTAAGAAGGTTCTTTATCTAAAATTTCAATTTTGTCCCAACTGAAATCATGGCCAAGGTCCAACCTATGGCTCGTGATGGTAGAAGGAGAGCCCGATCTTTTATTAATATCATTACGATGCTCTTTAATTCGCGTTTTGAGTTGCCTCTTAGTTTGTCCGACGCATAGGATGCGTCACAATCATGACATGAGATTTTATACACGACTCCGCTTTGTTGTAAGGGTTCAAGAATATCTTTACCGGTTTTTATAAATTTATCTAATCTGTTGTTGCAGCAAAATGCAGTTTTAAAATTATATTTTTTAGTAATAGATGTAAATTTTTCAGATATATTATTTACATATGGAATTGTGAAATATTTTTTCTTTTCCGTTTCTTTAGATTGCGAAATGTTTTTTTCATTATGTAATAAGAAATGAATCCTTTGGTTAATGGTTAAAAATATAAAATCTAACGGGTAACAATTGTTTAACAATATTGAAATCGTCTGCTGTAGGTTTTTTTGATGAAATATGGGGTGTGATAGCCGTATAATTTTATTTACTATTATTTATTTATATAACAACTCCGCAGCGATCGTGACGTGTTGCTTAGTGCATTGGTCCAGTATGCCAGTGACGATGGGTTTAATCCTCGCTGCCGCACAAAAATAAAAATTTACGATTTCCTCTTGAAACAACAAACTTGCAAGTAGTAAAGTTTGAAATAGCGTTCTATTAATACTAGAATTTGATATTGTTGTTGCCTTTGATCGGATAATGGTATATTATAATATCTTGCCTCTAGACAATTTCTCAACTTTAGCTTTTTATTATAACATAGTTTTCTGTTTCGCGCATGTAAACTAGAAATGGGCTTGTTCCCGACGCCGTCTATATATTGTAGAATAAAAAAAGGATGATTTACTTAATATTTGAAATCCAGTAATATTTTGTAATTTATGTTTTATATATAACATTTTTAATTTATTTTTTATAGTTGTAATTGTTTGTGTTTTGATATTTGATTACAAATCGCAGTAAGCAAAATATTAATAATGTTGGCAAATTGGTAACAAGATTTGATAAAAATTTTAAATTTGAAAAAATGTTTTAATTTTTTCTTCTTTGATACAATATTTCATTTTTGATGTTAACAATTTTATCGACAAGTTTTTAAATAAAAATAATTAGAAAATAGAATGTAATTAAAAGAGTTAAGAATTAAATAAATAAAAAATATAATTAACATGATGTTAAATAAAACTGGTTTCAAACCGGCTAGCAGTAAATTACCATAATATTTGTAAAAGTGGGTTAACGACTTTATGAAGAAAACTGCGCGCAATGGATCCCCTTGTATCTCGATGTCACGGTTATTTTGATCGAATCTTGCCATCCACTTTCCAATGCTTCTTTTCCACTTCCATTCACGATTCCATCCATCCGTGTAATGTGTATATTATCGTGGCAATTCTACCAAACTCATATTACCATATTTAGCTGAATGTTGTTTGGCGTAATATTATACGAGACACTACCGTGTCTCTTGATAAAATCGAAAAACGTTAGAATCAAATAATTTTAATTTTATCCAGCATATATATTTTTTATCTTTTAAATATTTAAAATTATTTGTATGATCTGATAGAGTATACATATGTCACAAAAGTAATTTTTATAATTTTTAAGATTTTATATCGGCGATCATAATGGCAATGGGTGAATAATGGAGCTAAATAAGCGGTAAATAAGCGCTTTAATAATCGTCGTAATCCACATTTTTAGACCGCAAAGGCATTTCTTCCAACGATGTTGGAAAATAAGAAGGGGCATATCGTGAGCGTGGCTAGTTTGGCCGGTCAAGTTGGAATTCAGAAATTAGTGGACTATTGCACATCCAAGTTTGCGGCGATGGGATTCGACGAGGCGCTTCGAATGGAACTTGAGGCAATTACACTTCTTAATTACATTACTTTGATTACATTGAAATAATTAGAATTTATTCATTGGTAAAATATGAGCGAGAAGTTTTGTACTTTTCGTCTGTTAACACTGTTGATTAATTGATCAAAACTTTTTTCTACTCTATTCTACTCTAGAATGAAGAATGCAATATTCACACAACAGTCGTGTGCCCCTACTTCATCCGTAGCACCGGCATGTTCGATGACGTTCGAGCGAGGTAGTACGACGCTGAGTGTAATACTTGTAGTTTTATGATGTTTGCGATTAAAATTCTCAATCCGTTGCTGCGACCAGTCAAATCAAAATATCGTGACTGAAAAATCAAGAGAGTGAAAAATATTTTACCATCAAATTTCAGTGATAGAATGCGAAAAAAATTATTTTATTTTACGAAGAAAAAGTTTTAATTTTCAGCATAATTTTCGACATTATTATTCAATATATAAATAGTCCAGTTTTTATTATTTGCAAAGCATGATCCGATACAAGACATGAAATCTCGTAGTACAAATAACGAAAAAGAACTCTTAATGTCAGTAGTTTGCAACATTGATTAAATGTCTCAACAGTCTTAGAAAATTATTTAAAAATTATTTTAGAAAAATACATTTTTGCATCCTTCCAATAAGATGTCTCGTATCAAATGCACTGTACGATAATGGCACATTTCTGAGATAATTTTGAAGAGAAAGTCCTAATACCAAAATATCAAGGCTATAATAGTTTTTAAATGGAAAGCATGAAGCAACCAATCAGGTTGGTCCACATTCGCGCACTCAGTGCACAGCACTGATGCGATATCGCCCACCGCGGTCCCGGCTCCGCTGCCTCACACAACCTCACAGAAGCGTACGTCACACTCTACGTCGTCGTCGTCGTACGTCGCGTCGTCGTCGTCGCGCGCGACGTACGTACGACGTACGTACGTACGTCGTGTGTGTGTGTGGTGGCGGTGGCGGCGGCGGCGGCGGCGGTCGGTACGGTCGGTTACGCGTACGTACGTCGGTCGTACGTCGTACGTAGTAACGTAACGTAACGTAACGTAACGTAACGTAACGTACGTACGTACGTAACGTAACGTTACGTACGTACGTACGACGTACGTACCGTACCGTAACCGTAACCGTACGTACCGGTACGTACCGTACCGTACCGTACCGTACCGTACCGTACCGTACCGTACCGTACCGTACCGTACCGACCGTACCGACCGTACCGTACCGTACCGTACCGGTACCGTAACCGTACCGTACCGTACCGACCGGTAACCCGTACCGTACCGGTACCGTACCGTACCGTACCGTACCGACCGTAACCGTACCGTACCGTACGGTACGGTACCGGTACCGTACCGTACGTACGTACCGTACGGTACGACCGACGTACGTACGTACGAGTGGGTCCAGGCACGGTGACGACGGCTTCTGTGAGGTTGTGTGAGGCAGCGGAGCCGGGACCGCGGTGGGCGATATTGCATCACTGGTGCACAGTAATGAAAGTAATACTTTCAGATATCGATTTCTTAATATCGCCTATAGCATACTTCTTATTTATAATATTTCGTAATATTTTTATTATTATTAACACGTACAACAAATTAATTTACCACACCTAATTGAGACAATATTAAGAAGCAGTTTTTATATTATTGTGTATAAAAGTGCGAATTTTATAATTATATTTAGTGTGTGAATTTGAAGCAACCTGATTAGTCAACTTTACACGCTTCCCATTTGAAAACTGTTGACTAGTCTCGATATTTCAGTTTAAAAACTACTAACTAGTCTCGATATTTTGGTTAGAATTAGAATTTTTATCTCAAAATAGTCTAAGCAAAGTAAGTGCCATTACTGTACGGTGCGTTTGATATCCTGTACATATATAAGTATATGCAGCTAATTGGTTAAATATCTTAGAAATTCCAATAAAGATTGTTTATAAAAATTGCAAAAAGTTTTTACATGATTGTTTTCTCCCTTCTTGCAACAATGTTAAAAAATCTTTATTAGAATTTCTAAGACATTTAACCAATTAACTGCATTTCTGAGTAACTAAAAATTGGTTGATTTAAAAGAATTTATATTTGAAATGTAGCTATATCCCGACTCTGAGTCCAAACGTCGTGGCTGATAGAATCGTAACGGCAATGAGATGCAACGAGAAGTATGCCATCATACCGGGTTACTTGCAAATTCTATTGGCTCTGAAATGGTAAAACATTGTTCGTGTGCCATACACATAAGACGGACTGTATAATTGACGAAATTGCAGGTTATTTCCGTGGCCGTGCGTGGCGATGTTTCTCCGTGGATTGGTCCAGGATGCTTCTCCGAGTCACCCATCATTTGTAACTGCAGCTACAATTAACACAAAGGAAATGTGCACTGTACCATTATCCAAGGATCAGAACGGCGCCGTCATTCATCAACAATTAACCAGACGTGTCTCCAGCTCTGAAAGAAAGCCTTGAAATTCCTCGTTCTGTCCTGATCTCAATATCGGTTTGGAATGTCCTTTATCACTTTCGAAAGTGCCTCCGCTATCTGGCCAACCGATATTGGCCTTTAATTTTTTAGATTTTTATCTTTCAGATTACTTTGACGGACGAGAAATAAGAATGTAATGCAGATATCGGAAACATATACGGTGATTTTGTGGCGATTACACTGATGAAATATTTCGAAATCATGTCCCGGTCCGTCGCGGAGCGTCTTATATACCGTCTATAATACCGCATAAAATTGAGACGAGCTTCTTCACGAAACGATGGGTTTGTTTTAATTCTGTCCAAGATTAGGAGGACCTGTAACGGTATATACATTATTATCCTAGTGATTCACAATCCTACGTCACATCTATGAGATTTTGTTATAATTTTATGATACTTTTTTTTTTAATAGCAAGATTATTAATATATAATAAGATCGACAAAATTAAAATTATTTATCAATGTATGACAAAAAAGAACTAAGAGCCGTAGCCAAATGTACATGTCGAAAAAATTAAATATTTATTATAATGTTTTGGTCTGACGTCAGACCATCTTCAGTGAGACTACAATTGAGATTAAGCGCTATAATATAATAATCGTTGTTAAGTGAAGTTTAAGAAGTTTGACAAAATTATTTATATATACATATGTATTGCCGTAATCTTGTAACACTAAAAATGGATATAAAACACGAAAACAACAGATACGACGCACAACTACAAATTGTCAGATATTTCAAGATGGACCGACGCGAAAGATGTGATACCGAACTTGTAAATGACGTCAGTGTTTTTTATAGGTATAAGAATAATTTTAGAATGTCTACAATTTGATACTGACATAAAATTGAAGAAGTGTGTTTATATCGTATTAACTGAAACTGACGGTCCTATAGAATTTATAAAGATTTTATCCATTATTTTCTATATATGTAAGAGATATTTATATCATAAAAATGATGGGCATTATATTGTATGCCCAGAGTATCAACATATGATGTATAATAAAAATTGTTTAAGTTTCAATTTTCCAAAGCATAGTTTTAAATGATACATTGCGAAATCTCGCACGTTATTACATTGATATAAAGGTGTTAGAATATATAACACATGTTTGTAAAGTTTACATTACATATTAATATATAAATATAAACTTTATAGCAAGTATTTAAATATTCATCTTTATAAGGGAGAGGAGGGGAGAGGAGGGTAAGAGAGGGGGTAGGGGGAGAGAGAGAGAGAGAGAAGAGAGAGAGAGAGAGAGAGAGAGAGAGAGAGAGAGAGAGAGAGAGAGAGAGAGAGAGAGAGAGAGAGAGGAGAGAGAGAGAGAGAGAGAGAGAGAGAGAGAGAGAGAGAGAGAGAGAGAGAGAGAGAGAGAGAGAGAGAGATTCAGATAAATTATTAATGATAGTTATCTTAAAAATTTTCTCGTATACGAAAGAGGCAGCGCTGTTAAGGCGCTGCAAAGTAATATTTTGCCCCATTTTTAATATAGAATTAGAATATAAATAACAAATTTATATAAAAAATATTTTTATAGAATAATTTTATTAGCATCAATATGGAAATATATATTCCTTTGATGAATGCTAACTTTTGCACAGTGCCATAGCTTATCTTTAGAAATTTATTTTATGTATAACATTTTTGTACTCTACAGCACGACAAGATATAATAAATTATTCTATTAGATTTTTCTTGCGAACGATATGTTGGATGAATGTAAGTCTGACAGAACTGTATTTTGTTAAAAGCATACTTTTTTTGACAACTATAATCGATTTTTTTTTTTTTAATTATCAAGTATCTTCTTGCAGTGATTTATCATGTAAATCAGTAATTCTTAGAAATCGTATAATTTTCTGGACATAATACATTGCGCAGTTTCTCGCACGTAAACAGATCAACACGAAAAGGCTTACTTTCACTAAAATTTCGCTGCTTTCGCGATACGACAGAAGTTTTTGTCTCAGCAAAATTTCTCGTACGTATATAACATAATATAACGAGCTCTTCAAGGTGAGAGTTAAATTATGCCCATTAGCATAGCTTTTTTAATGTATACGAAATCGCAAAAAGAAATCTTTGTATAGAAGGAGAGAAAAAAGAAAAGATATTCTTGAAATATGAAACATCAGAATAGCTTGAAAACTCTCAAACCAATTGACGCCGTATCCGAAAATTCAAATATAAGAATCGGTACTGCAAGATTTATTTTTGAAAATGGAGACAGCTACGAGGGAAAATATCAAACCGATATCGACAGACGCATTTTAGTTAAGCAAGGTTAACATTTTGTATATTTAGCGATTATGGTATCGATATATATATTTTATCTCGACCAGTGAATCATGCATCAATACTCGCGATTTATAGATCAAGGAATGTATTTAACTGATAATTTCGACGTATACGATGGTAAATGGTGCGACGATAAGTTTGCCAACGGTGAATTTTACATTCGGTAATCGATATGTTAAACTACATTATTTTAATATAAAATGCAATTTAGCAAAATATTAATATAACATGTTCACTTTTTATAAGATATAACAATAATGCACAATACAAAGGTGAAATAGAAGCGAATGGAATAATAAACGGCAGAGGAACGTATATTTTTCCAGATGGCTCTTTACTGTCTGCGTTATGGTCCCAAAATAAACCTATTTCAGATGTCACCTATAAAGAATCGCTTGGACATGAGTGGACAACTGAATTAATTTCAGATAACGTTGGTGTATAAACCATAAAAAAGCATATTATATTTTTTTATATAGATTTATAATTTTGTTAAAAACATTCGTCTTATTTGTACACAGCAAATTTTGTTCACAACTGGAAATCATTTTTGGAACGAATTATGTAAAGCATCTTCTGAAGAAACTTTTTCATCTTTAAGCCGACATTAATGAAACAAATTGTAAATTATAAAATAATTAAAATATGCACGTATAAATTAACTTATATGATACTTTGTTATAAATATTTATAAATTCTAAACGTGATATTTATATCAACAATAAAATATATAATTAACAGTTTTAAATTTCTGCATTTATGCGTAATGATTGTTAATTATTCTCACTCGTCCTTGTACATGGAAGGCACTCTAAATCGAGTAATAGCTGGACGGAAAAGCGGGTTTTCGTCTAAAGCGTAAATGGTTCTCTTTTGTTCTTGTTCAAATTTTGCGTATTCCCTACGATCTTTTATCGAAGTCCAACATCTAAAAAAAAGAATGCATTTTGCACTCATAAATTAAATTAAAATTAAAACTGAATTTTTGAATAGTGTACTTTGTTTATACATAGATTTGCAATAAAATAACTCACTTCCATATTAATAAAGAAATAATTCCTAACAACAATACAGCGCCACAGAGAACACTCGGAATGAAGGCGACGTGTATCGGCGTGTTACAAATCTGCGAAATTCAAAATCAAAGAATTTGAAATAAAAAAATAACTCATCCCAGATAACAAAATATCTGCAAAATTTCTTCAGAAATTATTTATACAATTGAGAGTATTGTTCAATTATTGGTCCAAGTATGCAAAATAGAGCAATTTTAGATTATTTTAAACTCAGAAATAAATATTCTTAATTATTGGGATTAATTATCTAAATAATTAATTATCAGTTTTACATCAACTAATTTTTACATTTTTAGACTAGTTATTAAATCAATTATAGCTCTACAATAAATCAATATAATATGAGATACATATATCGCAATTTTGTATTAATTATGGGACAATTTAATGAAAAAATTTTAAACTTATCCTAGGTTTAGATTTAATAAAATCTGAAGTTACAACTTCTCTGCAATTTGCTACCTGGGAATATTTCATGACGAAATATTGTTATGAATTTAAAAGTTTGCAATACGTACTTTATCGGCAATTCTCAATAGAACCGTGTTATCTGACTGAAATTCGAATATGTAAGGTATAGTGCAGATGGTTTTATCTTGTACCATTCTCACAAAACAGTAATGCTGGTTACCTGTTTAAAAATACTTATAAAATATCTTTTAAATACTTTTCAATATTTGTTCAAAACACTCAAGATTTCTGTTTAAACATTTGATGAGTGTGAAAGAAAATAAGTAGGTTGCAGGTGAGCGGTATGTCGCGTCTTATACCTATATCCACTGTGTCCACTCGCACGGTTTTGTAAAAAGTCGTGTTCGTCTGACATAGTTCTTCCGCTTTCTCCGGATATTCGACCGTAACATTCACGCAAGTATTGTAGAGGATACAGAGTCCACTACCGCCCGCACTCGCCGACGATTCGCAATAGGTACCTCGATAATAAAGACCATCCGCTGCTGTTTCGTTGCATCTACGAGTATGCCTCTTTTTAATAAGTATCAAATAGTTAATAAGATCGTAGTTGCTAAAATCATATTATATATAAACATAGTACTAATATATCTCTCTTCAGTTCTTATATACTCATATATGAGCATAGTGACCTCTCGCAGATGCTCAAATATTTGGGGCCTATAAGTTTAATGTTGAGTCCGAACAGTTAAAATTGAGAGATGTTCTTAGCAAGATACTGCTCACTTGTTTCTCTTTGTCTTACAAGAGGAAGTACAATTAGATTTTATTTTTGTGCGACGACAGGGATTGAACCTATCACCACTGGAGTGCTAGACCAATAGCAATAGCAATTAGCAATTACTATTAAAGCAACAACAAAAAAACATAAGAATCACCGAATGAGCGTAAAAAATACTATAAATACACAAAAATTACATTTCGGTCATCATACGTTGACTATACTCTGATGTATCGTGTTGGTTAATGTTTGCACATAAGATTAGTAAGCCCATTCTTTGTTATGAATTAATTAATTAATTAATTAATTATAATTAATATATTAAATATATTAATATATTAAATATATATAATATAATAATATATATAATAAATATACATATTATATTATATATAATTAATATATATAATATATTAAATATATATAATATAATATTAATATATATTAATATATTAAATATATTAATATATATATATTAAATATATATATTAATTATTAATTAATATATTAAATGTTATTAATTGTAATTAATTAATTAATTTCGTTAGTTTTTATATTCACTTACTTTTATATAATATAATTTTTAATATTTTCCATTGTATAATTGAAACCCTTTTTTTTCTTGATTATTCTTAAATTTAAGAGAGTCCGAAATATTGTGGCTAAAACGTGATTTGTAATTTTTGTGTATTAATTTATTATCTTTTACACTCCAACATCCGTGCTTCTAGTTCTTATTGTCTTTTTTATTGTTGTTTATTCTTGAAGAACCATACGTTACGTTATATTAAATATAAGATTTAGAGATAGATTTAGAGATAGAGAAGATATATATTATATTTTACAAAATTTTTTTTTCTAAATTGTAACGAACCGGCAGTGTCCACAGTCGCAATATCCATGACCAGCACACACGTCCTTGGTGCCAGGAGTGATGCACAGTTTGTTGCCGGACCGACATTGACAGCTATTGCCCTCCCATCCATCAAGACAATTGCAAACACCACAATCGCATGTCCCACGACCGCCACATTCGATTCCATCGCTCTATAGAAGTTTCACAGTAATCTCTCATAATCTGTCATAATCTCTCGGCTAATTACACTAATAAACTTTTGTTATTTTAATAACACTGTTGGCACAATGATGTCCATACTTTGTCGCAAGGAGAACACTCGCAGAAATGCCCATAATACCCCTTATCGCAGTTGCAAGTACCACAAATGCATTCGCCTCTGTTCGAGCAGACTTCCGTGTTGTTGACGGGAATACATAGCAGTCTGTTTTCTGTCGGAGAACTCTCATCGCAGTTACAAGTCTCTCCTATAAAAACATTTTTTACCTGACTCATTGTAAGGTATAGAGACATTTCATATAATGACAAAGATATATACTGCTCAAAAAAATTATGGCATAGAAAAATTTTGGACAAAAATTGATCAACTTTGACGAACGATAACTCCGCGAAAAATCATCGTAGAATCCTGATTTTTTTTTAAATGAGAGCTTGAAATCTCTACTTTAAAATACTATTGTGCGATTTTAAGTTTAATGCACCGCAACCACTGTAACCCCTTAAATCTGAGGACATGTTTGTCATATTGAAAATTGCAAAGTTTGACGGAATGCATGGATTTGCTAAAATTTTTTGGGGGGGATGCCGTTTGCAGGGATATAAAGCTGGAAACTTCTCCTTTAATTAAAAAAAAGTAGCGCGCGCGCGATGTGCAAAATCCAACCGGCAACCTCGCCGTGATGCACATCCGGTAACTGTAACGCCGGTGATACATGTCAAAAATGCAAAGGTTACTTTAAAGTGCTGTAATTTTGCGAAAAAAAATCGTAGCAACCTTCTTTTTTTTAAATTAAAGAGGAAGTTTCCAGCTTTATGTCCCTGCAAACAGCATTCCCCCAACAAATTTTAGCAAGTCCATGCATTCCGTCAAACTTTTCAATTTTTAAAATAACAAACATGCCCTCAGATTTAAGGGGTTACAGTGGTTGGGGTGCATTAAGCTTAAAATCGCGCAATAGTATTTTAAAGTAGAGATTTCAAGCTTTTATTTAAAAAAAAATCAGGATCCTACAATGATTTTTCGCAGAGTTATCGTCCGTCAAAGTTGATCAATTTTTGTCCAAAATTTTTCTGTGCCATAATTTTTTTGAGCAGTGTATTTTTAAATGTGTGAAAAAAATGTTTTATATTCTTACCGGACCAGCCGAAGTCGCATTTGCATATACCGCATTCATTGACTCCATGCTCGCAATATAAACTTTTCACGTTCTTACAGTCGCAACCGCACAATAGTTCTACCTCAATTTGCACCTCCGATGCCTCGGATGCTAACGCATCATCGATCACCACCGTTTGTTTCTAATAAATAATAAAAAAAATAAGATAAAAACACATTTACTCATTCTTAGAAGTTTGCGCAGTAAACGAGCGAGTATATATTGTAAAAAGTTTTGCAGTGTATAATTATATTTTTTTAAATACATAATTAAAACTATTTATTTTTCTCCATTTTTAACAAATCATGAATTTTTAAATCCGTTTTTTTTAAATTCCCATTTTTTAAATTTATATCCATAATTATAAAAGTAAACTAATTGAAAATCAAAAATCTTGAAACACACACACACACGCGCGCGCGCGCGCACACACACTGAACTTATCACATGTGGAAACATTTTTTGATTAAAAATCGAACTGCTTAATGGTATTGGTAATTATGTTATTAAAAAGAATTCAGTTCATGTTTATTTTAACAGTGGTCTGTCACTTACTTTCTGGTAAACTTTTATTTTGTAAAAAAGCAAATAGGTACTTATTCTTTCACATATTATGTCATTAGATAGTGCTTCAGGTAAATAAATTTTCTATAATAATATAAAATAATATATTTTAAAGCTCTCAAAACTTGAGAAATTGGAAATTCTAATATTAAAAAAAAAAAGAAAACTAGAACATTAGTGAAAATTAATTGAACATAATTATAATTATAAGATGTAAATGAATGTTTGTTTTCAACTTATTTTTGAATAAAATTCAATATTCTTTTGTTTCAAGTCAATTTTAAGATTTATCATTAATTTTGGAAACGGTCCATAAATCATTTCAGATCATATCAAAACATATTTTTTTTAAATTACTTATAAAATTTTACAATTACGGAAAGTATTGATATTATAAGAATAAGTATTTTGCAAAATATTTTGTTATATAAGAAAAAAATGTGTTTTAATATATACAAACGCAAAAATCAAAGTATCTTATTGTCAAAATAAAAAATATATGACTTAGCCTCTCATAATCACTGGCACATATAAAATTTAATATTGTATTAATAGCTCATTAAAGTTCAGAACTCACCCAAAGACTTTCGTTTCTCGGACACTCGTCTACCGATACGACGATTTTGAACTCATACACTTGACCCTCTTGTATACCGTCGCACTCAGACGTGTCTGATTCCACGCTCGTCTTTCCACCGCACGTGGACAAATACTTGAGATGCAACGGACCGGTAGAATTATCACGAAGTACTACCTTGCTCACGATTTCGTGATAGGCGCTCTCGATGATCTCGAGAATGTTGGAACTGTTTCGTGTTAGAGTAGCCACTCTAGCTTGCTCCATCAGCAAATCGGCGATTGGTTCGTACTCGCGGCGACGATCCTCCGTCACAGCGAAAATCAAATTCACTTTGTGCTCGCGCAACAGTCGAGATACCTCCGCTAGAGACGGATAATCGTATTTTTTTGCCATGGAGTATCGTCCACGTTCATCGATGTGACATTGAAAGTCTTGACGATCTACTGCACCTCCCAACTAAAAAATACCAACAGACAAAGAAGTTATAAGAAGTTATAAAACATATTAGTTTTTAAAGACAAGTTAAAATTTCTTCGTGTTTCTCGTCTCTTACCTTTCCTTCTCCAGCGAAATGCAAGAGTCCATCGGTTGCTACCAACATCAATTTTCGCGCTTGATGAGCCCATCCGACTTGTTGTTCGCAAGCGATCGCTTGCACAACTCCATCAAGACCACCTTCCAAATTATCCACATTGCCAGTTACCGAACTATAATTTACCTATAACTCGGATAATTCATGTAAATTTAATAAAATTATCTTGAATCGAGAAATTGCAAACAAACGCGATTTATTTTATATATACATATATATATGTCAATCGGCTACTCTGACGACAATTTTACATAAGAATTGGCTACTTTGACGACTTCTGGCTACTGTGACGACCGTCGTCGAAATTTTATCGATCAATCGTATACCTTGACGACTGTCGTCATAATAACTATATCAATTAATCGATCATTTTGGCGACACTGTATAGATTGACGACATTAAATCAGCGATTTCGATGACAGTAAACGAAAATTGTATAAATATATATATATAGCTTGGAATTTATTATTTTTAGTTTTATTGTAAATATAAACTGATTATGTAAAAATTTCAATTCGATACAGGGCAATAAAAGAATATATAATTATGATTATAATGATAATATAATCGAATAATTTTATGAACAAGAAATTGAAATTGAAAGCAAGAAAACAGCTATATAATGTATAAATATAAAATATGTATAAAACACAATTTCGAAATATAACTACAAAATTTCTAACTTATTTTGACTAACTTACAAAAACATTCATGCTTACATGGAAATGTTTTCTCCAATAAATAATACTTAACGAGAAATACCTCATACTGCACAACAAGATTGCAGAAACATTGTGACAACGTTTCATTGCAATATTGCAACATTGCATAAATGTGAAATATTGTTACAAGATTGCTGCAAGGTTGCAGCAACGGTAAAATGTCCGCTTTCAGAAATATTACTAAATAACAATGTATCAATATTGCAATAAAATATGTATGCAACATTATTTCGGAAATGTACGGTCAGACTGGATCTTTTATGCTTAACATTTTTCATGTGAACTTATGTACATTTTTCACTTAGCAAGCTATGCGCCGGTATTTTTTGATTTTGAAACTTAGTCTCAAGATCAACAAAGTAAAGCCTATCTCAGATATTAAAGCCTATTATTGAGATTGAAGATTAAAGATTGAAATTTCATTAATCAGAACAAAAAAAATTTAGCTCCTTTCATTCCGATCAAATTTCAATCTTTAATCTTCAATTTTCAAAGCGTAGTTTGATACAGACATAGTGGCACGTAAATTGCTAAGTGAAAAATGTACACAAATTAACATGAAAAATATTATTAGACATAAAAGATCCAATGTGACCGTATAGTGATAAATTTTCTATTTATTTGATTATTATCATTTAGTTTAAAGGTAATAAAAATATAGATATACAGGGTGAGTCATTTTAAGTGACGCACTGAAATTTCTCAAAAATTATAGGAGATACAGAAAAATGGTTCAGACAAAAGTTGTTCAGGACAATGGAGGTCACCTATTTGTGCTAGTGACTTTGACCTTGAAGTCAATTTTCAAGGTCATTTGAAGGTCAGAGTTATTTTTTAAAATGAAAACCCCTATTTTTGATTCCAAAATCTAATAGCTGGTGTCAAGAGCTTTTCAAAACACTATAATGAAGTTATTTTTCATTAAGTACTTTTCGAGTTATGAGGCTTGTAAATTACAGTATTTTGACATAAAATACAAAATATCTTGTAAAACATTCAATTTTTGGGAATCTTACCTTAATACTTTTATGCATAAAATAATGAGACGAATCAATTGATATAAAGAAAACACATTGGTTTTAAAAAAAAGTATGCAGTTGCATGTTGCAAATTACATATTTTTTCTTGAAAGCAACTATGTGTTTTCTTTATACCAATTGATTCGTCTCATTATTTTATGCATAAAAGTATTAAGGTAACATTCTCAAAAACTTGTTTTACAAGATATTTTATATTTTATGTCAAAATACTGTAATTTACAAGCCTCATAACTCGAAAAGTCTTAATGAAAAATAACTTCATTATAGTGTTTTGAAAAGCTCTTGGCACCAGCTATTAGATTTTGGAATCAAAAATAGGGGTTTCCATTTAAAAAAATAACTGACCTTCAAATGACCTTGAAAATTGACTTCAAGGTCAAAGTCACTAGCACAAATAGGTGACCCCCATTGTCCTGAACAACTTTTGTCTGAACCATTTTTCTGTATCTCCTATAATTTTTGAGAAATTTCAGTGCGTCACTTAAAATGACTCACCCTGTATATTATATAATATAAATAAATATTTATTTTATTAATAATATTGCATTATATTAAAAATAATATTAAATAATGTTAAATAATATTTGATTAAAAATAATGCATTATTAACATTTTTTTGTATACTACTTATTATATTTCAAGTAATAAAAGAACATAATAGGGCATTGTTTTTACAATATTTTTAAAATGTTGCTGTAATATTGTTTGAATGATATTGCAAATTCATATCCGTATAATATATCTGCAACGTTGCACTGCAATGTACAATATTATAACATTGCTGCAATGTTGCTGCAAGCTTGTATGCTGTATGGGACATGTCACTATATATCAAAGCAGAATATGTGAGAAATGTGTGATTTAACATATGACGTTATTTTAACGACAAAATGATATATCGCTTGATTAACAAAAACTATTTTATATAAATCAATTAGTAAATATACGCATATAAAATTAACTTATACTTAAATACGCAATTCTCGATAAGAATATTAATTGTTAAAAAAATCATCAAAATTAGAAATTTTTTAAACTTCAAAATTCTCGTTACTTTATTATTATATCTAACTTTCTGTCGAAATTACAGTAGCCTACAATAGCGTTCGTTTAGTACAGCGACACTTTATATGGAACGACTATTTTATAACGACACTTCTAGTTTCAGTGAAAGTATTATTTTATATGAATCAATTATTATTAAAAACATGTATGTGATATTTACTTGCGCTCAAATACATATTAATATTAATGAATAATATAAGAATATTAATTCTTAAAAAATCATCAAAATCGAAGCACTTAAAGTTTCAAGATTCTCATAAGTTACGAGAAACCATGAAGCATAATATAAACAGTTAATTACAACTTAGTACTTATTATTTTACTTAGCAATAAACAAGGTTAAACTACAAGTAAGGCGATCCTGGAGCCGTCTGTTTTACCGATTTCTTTAAATGCAATTTTATTTCTTTTTAGCTGTTTAGAATAAAAAATTCTTTTCTGTAATTAAAATACATATGCTAATGCATCGATGACGACTCAATTTGATCGGATTTTTTATTCCATTTAGCCAAAAAGAATAACTTTTGTCTGAACCATTTTTCTGTATCTCCTATAATTATTAAAAATAGAAGGTAAAACACATCGGATTTATTTTCAGCCACTGTAAAGCGTATCTACAAAAATGTTGTTAAAAAAAGTTGTTTTATATAAAGTGTCGTCATACTATCCAAACGCTCTGAATTCTCAGTAACGTATTTATCTGAAATATCCGACATTATTTAACATTCATAAATATAAAATAGAAATTATTAGAAAAAATATAGAAATTTTCTATGTAATATAACAAGTGATTTCATAAAAAAGTATAAGATTCATATTATATGCTGAATGTGTAACATTAAAAATTTATATAACTATCATGCAAGCGCCCTGTATTGCTATAGAGGTTGATTACGTCAGACTGTGATGTCACAAAATTTCCTATCGTCTACTTTCATACATATATATGAAGATTCAACAGCAAGAAATTCTACAAATACCATTTTTGTAATAGAGAAAAAATTTGTTGATTAAAAAAGCAATCATTTAAAATACAGTCATTTATTTCAAAAGTATGCTCAATTTCTACTTCGCATTGCAAAAGAATTGCGAATTAAAGATTACAATTTAATTAATCAGAACGAAAATAATCATTAAAATTATATGATTATTGAATTTTAATCTCAGTTCGCAATTCCATAATTTGACACGAGTTTTAGTTCGTATTTGATTTTAATTGGTTTATTTGGTCTATTGGTCTATCATTATTATTTATGAAATATAGTTGTTTATTTGGAAAGTGATGTAAATTCAATTCTGAAAGAAATAGCAAATTTGGTTTCTTTCAACAAAATTTGAACTTGTCCTTAAAAAGAATTAATATAGATAATTAATTACTACAGCAAAAAAGAATTAAAAATTAAAAATTCTTTAAATGATTATAATTGTAAGCATACAAGCGTCATAATTATATTTACATTTATTACAGAAAAGAATATCTCAACATTTACAACAAGATGTATTGTATATATTCATTCAAATATAAAATTCTCTTTTCTGTCTCGGCACTCACCATTAGGGCTATTCTACAATAAGCCGTAAATCGTATAGTCATAAGAAATTGACCAATTACAGACAAATCACATAAGAATTCATCGACTGTGATTGCTCAATTTCTTATGACTTTACGACTCACGGCTTATTGTAGAAAGCCTATTAGTCTTAAGAAATGATAATCACAGTCGATTATTCTTCTGTGATTTGTCTGTGATTGATCAATTTTTTAAGATTAAGACTAAGATTAAGATTAATACCGAAGCATAAATTAGTCATCAAACTGTGTGATAATGTATAAAGATATGTTTGTTTTTAGCTAAGATAGTACACTGCCCGTCAATGATTCGCTGGGTAGTGCAGTAGCCCTAACTTATTAGTCTAAGCCTAGATCTACAATAAGTATAGCCGTAAGAAATTGATCACTCACAAAACATAAAAGAATAATCGACTATGATTGGTCAATTTCTTACGCCTTAAAGCTTATTACATCTATTGTAAATTTAGGCCTATGGCGAATTCCCACTGAGCGCGTCACGCATCTTGTTCTATTTTATTCCATTCCATTACCATGCAATAAAATGAGATGCTTTAATTGGTTAATTTGTGACGCTGACGGATGACGCGACGCGTGACATATACGCTCAGAACATATTTGTCAGTAGGAATTCGCCATTAGGTCGATAAGTTAGAGGTTAGAGCTACTGTACGACCCAGCGAATCATAGACGGGCATTATACGTGAAAAACAGAGACGATGATACCTTATAGATACTATCTCTCTCGACATCAAGATTATCAGGCAGAAACAAAGGCAACGTTCGTATTAAACAGTAACCTAGCAATAAACAAACTAACTTAGCAACGATTATTTTTTGTATAATCGGCTATGAAACATGTAGAAACGTGTACGTTCGCGCTTTAACCACATTCAACCATGCTATAAATATTATCCAAAGAGTTGTATTGAAAATAGAAATTCTAATATGTACGCCTTAGTAAAATTTCATGATGGTATTTATCACGTGTGCAAATCAAATCTTATTACTTGTAAAGGCGTTACAAAAGCTACATACAGTGATAGACGTAAGTACCCAGCAAATATTATAGCGAAAAATGGTAAGTTGGAATTTTTTTATATTTTATAATGTATATTTTATATACGTTTTCAATGTTATTATTATATGTAAGTAATATCAATCACCATTATACGGTGGATATCAATGTTTTCTAAACTGAAATTGCACGCATATCAAAATATATTAGCACATGCATGAAAATGATATAGAGAAATGATGTAGCGAAAAAGCAAGAGCTGAGTATGCTCTGATATGTGCGTACAATTTTAGATAAAAAGGCATTAGTCTCATTGTGTTACTTGGTAATTATATTATTTATAAAGAAAATACAGAATTTTACAATGTATATAATAGCAAATTTCTCTAAATCCAATATTCATATTTTTTCATTATTGTACGAATAATCATAATTTTAATGTCTAATTATTTTTCTATTTGTTTTCATTCCAAAAAGTATAAATATCAATTCAATTCTTTAACGATGGTTTAAGAATGACTAATTAATTGCAATTGATTAATTAAAAGATTTTTACTTATAGTAGAGAGAGAGAGAGCTTCATCAAAGCTTTATTTGTTTTAATATAAAAGTCACATGTAATATTATTTTAGTTTGAAGAAAAAACTTTATAAATATGACATATTGAATTAAAAAACTGAATTATTATTATTAAATAGATTACTATTGAATATCTTTTTTATCATTACAGATAACAAAGCTATATTACACGAAATAAAACAGAATATATTTGCAAATAAACCACGTGTGTTTTGTAAAAAAATTTATTTCCAAAGTAGAAAGAGAAATACAAAATACAAAAATTATGATTATGAAAGGACTACGAATACCTGCGTATTCAAAGGTAAGTACAATATTATTAATTATTGCATTAATTATTTGACTTTTTTTCATAAGCATTAATGTAATGTAATATTTATTTACTTTAAAAATCATTACTTCTGATACATTTAATTAATATCATCAATTATTTAATATGTCAATAGTAATATACTTTTTTTCTTATGTTAGATATTAACACAACGACTTTTATGAATACATGAATACAATGAATACAAAAACGTTTCTACTGTACATGCTAAAATGTAATGCATATTTCTTTTTTATTTTTGTATTAGATATTAACATTTTCTAAATTCAGAGAAATTTTAGCAATTATACACTTTTTAACAATATATTCATGTTTGAGTATTCATAAAAAACTGAGAATAATGTTTCGCAATGTTCTTTTTTTAAATATATGTTTGTTTTGTATTATAAAGATTACTTAATAATGCTAACTTTCAAATTATTTTTTAATAATAATCTGTAAATTATTATCATTTTCTCAAATAAAGAAAACGACAAATCGGAAACAGAAATTAAGACCTACAATTATAAAGACACTAATGTCTTAATATCTTTTGGTACGATTAATTAATATTATTATCTATATTATCAGTATATTATCAATATATTATTATCCATTATAACTTTATTCAATATTTCATGATATGGATGAGATGCATATAGGCCGGTATTCATAGTCGATTCTAATATTTAAGACCGTTTTAAGTACAGTCTTAAAATGTGACAGAGCCCTATTAGCGTCTTAAAACATTACTTAAGACGATCTTAAAATAAGAACGGACTATGAATACCGATCATAATATACTTTTTTTTCAAATACAGTCATTATGAATGCATAACCAAATAAAACGCATGATTGAAAGTTTTTTTTATCACAAATTTTGTAGGTGTATCAAAAAGTTTATATCAATCTCTTTAAGTATGTTTCTATAAATGCTAGAATGTATATTTTTCTTTTTTCCAATTAATAAATCAATCATCGACGAAAATAAAGGAAACGACGAACTGGAAACATCAGATATCCCAGTGATCATTGAAAAAAATAGAAACAATTGTTCAACTGAAACTGAAAGCAAGGAGAGTGGTATTGAAATGTTTGATGTTCCAATGCATAACAGTGAGTGTTCAAAATATTTTCATCTATTCCATGTATTAAAGATTGGCATAAATGCATTAACATTTAGCAAATTTAGAGTAGTTAGAAATTTTGGCAATAATCCATTTCCTAATTACACATATATATGTTTGACTTAATAATTTGTAAGAATAAAAATAATATTCTATAAAAGTTTTGTAAAATATTCTGTAAATATTTTGTAAAACTTTTTTTCTAATATAATTTCTTTCATACTAGTTTCTATACTAGTTTTTCATGATAAATGTTACTTTTCAAGGCTAAATTTTAAAATTATTTTTTAAAGTAATATTGTAATTATTGAATAAAGTAATATTTTAAAGTAAAATTATTTTTTAAAGTAATATCATGTTAAAGAGTTTATTCATTGTTTCATGACATATACGAGATAATATAATATAACAAATTTCGACAGTCACTTTCTAAAGACATATTCACATGTTTCATTATTTATAATTTGTAAAAATAAGACTAATATTCCGTAAAAGTTTTTTCTTTTTAATATACATATATATGTGTTTCGCATGAATGTTCACTAATACTAAATTTAATTTTTTTTTAAATAATATTTAAGTTATTATTGTTTTCTCCAATAAATAACAGTAATTAATACATATTAAAACAAAACGCATATAACTGAAACTTAATCATAAATAATTTTGTAAGAGCGTATTAAAAAATTTATGCCAGTCTCTCTAAGTACATTTCTATTACGAAAGCTAGAATATAATGCACATTTTCTTTTTTGCTATTACATTAAGATATAGATAAACCAACCATAACAGTCACTGATGAAAGTAGAAGGTATGACAGACCAGAAACAGCAGAAATAGAAATTAAGGATTGTGATTATCTAGACACCAGTAATGTTCCAACATCTTCTAGTACGATTAATTAATATATTTTATCCATTACAATTTTATTCAATATTTCATGATATGAATGAAATACATAATATACTTTTTTTCTACATCAGATATCAACGCAGTAATCATCGAAAATGGAAATAGTTGTCCAACTGAGATTCAAAGCAAAGATAGTAATATAGAAACGTTTGATGTTCCAATACATAACAGTGAGTATTCAAAATATATATTTCCATGTTTTCTATATATTAGGCTGCATTAACATTTACTAAATTTAGAATTATTAAAAACTTGGCAATCATAAACCAGTAGTCATATATATAGTCGGTTCTTATATATAAGATTTTCTTAAGTATAATCTTAAAACATAAATCAATCATATACAATTTTTATAATTTTATTAAAATTATAATAATACTAATCTTTCAAACAACACTGAGCCAGTGCTGGTAGCTCTGGCAACCAGTATTGGACCGTTCGTAAGATCAACACTGGATCAGTGCAGGCTAACTACACTGAACCAGTATCGTTTATCAGTATTGGGACAAACTTATCATCCGACGCTGCGCCAAAACTGAGCCAGTAGTGTTGCCAGTACTGCAATTCAGGCAATCATTACTGGTCCAGTATTGGGCCGATTGCAAAATCCTATATGGGTAAGGACGGAGCGGCAACAGAAAAGAAAGATTGCTATTATCAGGAGAGCACTGATCTTCGAGCATCTTCTAGTATAATTAACGAAAATAAGAGTAACGATAGACTAGAAACAGAAAAAAACTGTTCTTATAAAAAAACCATTGATCTTCCTACATCTGGTATATTTAACTAATTATAGATTATATCTGCAATTACTATTTGATTATATGAACAAAGTACTAATATATCTTTTTTCTTATATCAGATATTAATACAATTTTGAATAAAAATGAGAACGTATGTCACAGTGAAATACAAAATATAGACTGTAATATTAATGGAATTTCAGATGTGCTTTTACCTTGTGGTTAGTATTTTTAATATTATGAATTATCTATAATCTATTTTATAAGTTTTAAAGAAAGATAATATATTTTTCAATTTTAATATTAGATTTGGTTAGTAAATCAATTAGTAAATCAGTAAGCATCGATAAAGACATAAGCAATGAAAGAACTGATAAATTCAATGAAGTCTGGCAAGATGTTGAAATTTTATTATCTTGTGGTAAATTTATTTTCATATTTTTCATAATACTAGTTACTTCTGAAAATTATTTTGATGATAACTACTGATTACATCATTATAATTGTTTTTGTTAGAACCTTTGTCAGAACCTGCAAGTATACAGACATGTAATGCAGTTGAAAATAATCTGGAAATTGACAATATTAACATGGACGTCTCATTAACAGGTATGTTTCTTATTTTCTAGTTTGGGAAGTAACATGTTATTGTAACGTGTTATTGTTACTTTATTCTTTCTGAAACAGTAACATACTTATATTTTTTTTAGTAACAACGAATTTAACATTTTCTTTTATTGTTACTTTTTACATTTTGAACCTATTTCTGATGTATTGTTTATGTATTTAATCTTTAATTAGTATATTATTTTTTATATTTAAAATATCTTAAGTATAAAGATAATCATAAATCAATCATATATTAGTGTAGTTCTATGATACATTAGCTGCATATTTTAAAAACAAACTGTCTTTACTTTAAATTAAAAATTCACATTAAAATTTTTGAACATAAGATCAACAGTGCAAAAACGTATAAATTTTGCTATATTTATAAGTTTAATGAATCAACAATTTTTATTTGCATTTTAAGCATTTTAAAATATTTCTCTTTAAATTTGTGTGGTATTTTGAAATTAAGATTATATTGCTTTTAATAATATTTGAACAAAAACATTTAAAAAATAAATTTTTAAATTTGATATTGGTTTAACATTTAAAAAATAACGATGACAAATTAAAAGTAACTTTTAAAAAGTAACTTTCCCAATTTTGATTGTATTATAATTGAATATGTTGAATATTACAAAAAAAAATTAATGAAGCTTAATATTTCTTATGCAGTAAGTAATACCTGAATTCATTATCACTTGCTGTTATGCATTATTAAATAAGCTTATTTGTTTTCATTCTATTTTTTTGTTTACAGATTTACTTAACATATCTCCATCTACATTTATTTTAGATGATTGTGTTAGAAGAATATCTTTTAATACTACTGGTATGTAAAAGTTAATTATATTTAATATTTTTGAGGAATTTGTAAAATAGTAGAATCAGTCATTTATAGGATTTAAAACTAAATATTTCAAAAACTATATTAATATCAAAATAAAACAGAATGGAAGTTATTTTTAATATAGTTCAAATTGAGATTTACATTACTCTTACAATATATCTTTCGCGTTATTTTTCTT